ACTGTCAAATGCCTTATTGACTTCCTGTTATGGGATTATTTCTAATGATGTTGCGACAATGAATAATTTTGTCAATTGGTTCTAGCCGTTCTATATTTTCGAAAAGAACGATTGCTCTCAACTGACCTGAAATGGAATAGTTGATGGGCATTAGCCAGGAAAATTGTTGTTTTCCTCTCGTCATTTACCATTGTTGTTCATTTTATGAACATTCGTGGAAATTACTCCGAGCTCTCTGTATTTATTTAACTTTTCATTTCACTTTGAGCATTCTGGCTATTTCATTGTAGTCAATGGGGTGGAAGTCAGGAGACCTCTGTTGCCATAATCTAAGCTTCCTATCCACCTGATTTCATAGGTGGTATGCCAGGGTTATGAAGAGAACACTGTACAGTAATTGTCCGTGTCGATGATCTTTGAGGACATTCAATACCATTCATGATAGCTTCCCCAGCTTTGTTCTATGCTTGCTTGTATTTTTCTCAAACAGGTATCTCTATGTATTAGTCGACGGAGTATCATCTGACTCCCTTATCATTAATGCTGGTGTTCCGCAAGGATCAATCCTAGCACCAACACTATTTCTACTCCATATCAACGATTTGTTGAAAGCAACTTCATGTCCAGTACACAGCTTCGCCGATGATAGTACCCTCCATACCGCCATCTCTTCCAGGTCTGAAATACCAGCCAGGCAGATCAGAAACGAACGAGGGAGAAATGTTGACAACATAAATATGGACTAGGCAACAATTCTTGAATGGGAATCCAATAACTTGGTGGATTTCAATGCAAACAAAACACAAGCATTCCCCTTCTCTAGAAAAGCTGATCTCACTGTGCCCAACATAAACTTGTCAGGAGTAACCATACCTTTGAAGACATCCATTTCGATGCTTGGTATTACTATCAGCAATAACCTTTCTTGATAAAATCACGTAAGATCAATTGCTAAAACTGCATCCCAAAAAGTTGGTTTTCTGTTTCGGGCCAGGAGCTATTTCACTACTAGTCAGCTGCTTATGACCAATAAGGCACAGATCCGACCTGTCCTGGAATACTGTCCACATATCTGGATTGCAGCACCCAAACTCACCCTTAAACAGTTGTATTCTGTCCAGAAATGGGCAATTCGTCTCGTGGGTGATGCCTCGCTCACAAACTCACCCACTTCTCTAGAACACCGTAGAAAAGTTGACGATCTGGCTCTATTTTATAGATATTTTCATGGACGATACTCTTCTGTAATACAAACAATTGTTCTTCCCTTGGCAGTCCCCGTGAGACCAACTCGTCGAGTTAAGGCTTCGCAACCCTTTGTGGTCACTATGGAGACCTGCAAAACATCTCTCTTCAAAGACTCCTTCATCCAACGAACAGTGAGGCTCTGGAACACATTGCCAATGGAGCAGAGGTGTTTCCCGAGGCATATAACTTCCAGAAACTCATGAAGAACACCATTCCTACCTTCTTTCTCTTGGTTTTCACTATGTTCTCTGAATATCACACAATATCCTTTTTCGTGGGAACCAGAACAATAAAAAATATCTACTGGGTGGGAATTGAGAGAAACGAGAAACTGTGATTTTTTTCATTGAACTAAAGCATTCAATCGTGATATTCATGTGTTGTCAAGTATTTCATTTCAGAGAAATACGAAACTTCCGATTTTCCTCAAAATCTATCGTTTTATGAGATACTCAGTGAAAGTCTGAGGAGCATTTTGAATAGGTGGATTATTAAAGTAGAAACAAAATATTCCATGAAAAAATCAGACGAATCGAAGATGCTCTTGGAAAGTTATGACCAAAAGATATGTGTTTTCCAAATTCCGTAATTCACGCTATTTATATCAGTGAAGAAGAGGAAAGGACTTTTTGATAGTAATTAGGTGTTTTCTTCAGGGGCCTCTATTCGTAATAGGAGTATGTATATAGTTCCTCATGACTCACACTGAATAAAGTTCATTGTTTTGACTCATATTCACACTCTCTCAGACTGCTATGACAACAATTCCATCAAGTTCGTGGACAATGTAAATCAGTGCTTATTTCCTCGCATATTTTCAAGCGAGTTTCGCAATTATTATCAAAACATTATCCCTGACCTTCACTCGACACACACATGAATCTCATTAAGTATTATATTTTCGATGCAACACGATATGCAAACACAAAGCTCATATGCAGTTAATAATTATTTCTAAAACATGATACACATTTTTGACGCCGTGAGTTTTCTCAAGTTTTGTTCGTGTTCCAGTATAGTCCATTCGAAATCCATCAGTCAGTCGGTATATTGACACTGAATGGCATTCTGGTTCAGTTGTAGACTTAGTAGTTCGTATTTTTTGTTGATAGCTATGACATAGGTTTTCTGCAAAAGTATATTGAGGTCCTATAGCATAATGATGGTGTATATACTGAGGATACCGATTCAGTTACCGGGGTTCCCAAAAAAAGAAATTATTACGTTATTTGTGAGCAGAAGTGAACACTCTTACACCATATTTATCATGGATCCGATTTATTCCACTTGAAGAAACCCTTTTTCATTAGATACAAACTTGACACTACTATCATTTCGAGCTGTTTGAAACACACGGTATGCAACGGTATCTCTGACAGTGACTGATTGACTGACTGACTGTTGCGGCTCCTTTTTGAATGTATATTAGTTGTGCTAGCTGATGCTCGTTCATTCTATCATCATCCGTTCTCTTCTATAGTTCATAGAATATTTCCTCTCTCTGATAGTTTCTTCGTAAAAATAACAAAGTAAATATAACTGAACCGATTTATAATTCAATTCCTACTACAGCTCCCTTGCAATATACATTATGACAGCTGTTATAACTCAATCGGCGCTTTTTCACCTTGCCTGATTGTAGTGACCGCAGTACCTACACTAAAAGTGATTGGGGTTGGGGACCAAACGTGTCTGCAACGGACGAAGAATACTCGCCTCAAAAAATAGTCGATATTTCATTTGAAGACTAGTACATGCAATGTAATTTCTCATAGACGTGAAAGAGATGTTTTGATAATCTTCTGTCAACATGATATGAATTGCGTCTTTGAGAATACCCTATTCTGATGCCCATAGAATTGTTTGCATGCAATTGATATACTTGAATGATCGGAATTCATGTCTTCAGATCGAGAGATGGATTATGATTCATGATTGAGCTCAAGTGTTCCTGATATAAGTCGATAATGATGTTCTGGAAATTCACGGAATCGACATCAGATATCTGGACTACACTACGAAATATTCGACACTCTGACACTAGATGTCCTTCGGAGATGATATCACCGTGTATGAAATATTGGAAAAGATAATGATGGCGACATCATACCATCAGTTAGTTCATTGATTTTCATTATATTCGAATCATAGTTTATAAGTTATCACCATCATTAGGTCTCTATTAATTTTGTTTTAAATTTCTTCAAATTCATCATGAACTCGTTATGAGCCATGAGTAATTATTGGATGAGCTATGAAATATATATTCACGATGCGAGTATCGTCAAAACTCATATTACGATATGAGATGGGAAACTTGTCGAACAAGGCCGAAGGCCGAGATTATGATAACCCATCGATTAGAGAGTTGATACCTTGAGATGAATTCTGCACCATATCGTGAAATGGAATAACAAACAAATTATAATCATCGTAATATTATGATTGGTGAATGATAAATTTGTACAATGATTTAAGTAGGAATTCACTAGATTCGTCTGGTTATAGCTAGACAAGACGCTCATTTGCCGATTGTGATGCTTTGAATCGACGACAAATGGAAACAAATAATTATCATTATGTAGAAATGGATGGAAATATATCTCCCACACCTTCTGCACGCGTTCGCTTGGCAAGTATCATGCGACATATATTTCTTCATACAATCAGAATAGTCGCTACTTTCATTAGACGATCTGCCCACGGAATAACAAGCACCCACACTAATTGTTGATGATTACTCTGTCCTGTATTGACACTCATATCTCCGAAACTGATTATCGCTTTACAAATCAAACTCCTCTTCATGGATGGGGAATGAACACTCACGTTCATTTTATATATTTTTTATACAATATTGATTTGACTATTGTCTCCATGTGAAAACTCATTTTTTGATTCAAGCACTGATATAAGCTAGAAATGGAACTCCCTAAGTCTCAAATTGTATATTCCTGAATTATTGTTGGAAACAATGATGAAGCATTGAAATTGTGAAGATTAATTTAGTGTTTTTTTCAATTGACTCGGCCGTTATTTGATGGAAATCCATGGCAAATGTGAAAACTTCACAAACGATAAGGTTTCCACAAAATTTTCAAACACACAACATGTTTTTTCACTAACACAGAAGCTTCGTCAAGTGATATACTGGTACAATGTTCATTGTCAAAACTTATCGTTTGTGGAGTTTTTACATTAATTTTGAACATTTATGAATAAAATTATAAAGGTGCGATCTGGATAACATTTTGAGCAAGAAACTATAAAAATATTGTTATTATTTCTGGAAAGGAACATATTTGTATCATTCATCAGAAGATGCAAGCTAATACATATAGGTACTTCAAATTTTATTGTTTCATCTTGGAAAATAAAAATTTAGGGGTGAGCTACACACCTCAGGGATAACCGTAATATAACCAAGGATTTGACCCTTTCATTCCTACAAGACTTCCAGATGCTTGACAGTTTCCATTAGTTTTCTTGGAATCGACAATCCGATCTTGAATTACAGACACAAGGCAATAATTGTTGGTCGACTTTGTTTACTCAGTGTGTCTGCGACATTTCCTTTCTGAATTTGTGAACAAAAATAATTATTATTTCAAGTGTTCATCTTTTTCTAGTGATATTTGTACTCATGTCATATTGTACAATTCCAAGGAGGCAATCTGCTTCTCGAAAAACAGCAAATTCCGAAAATCGCACCTACTGTCAAAGATTTTTTATTGACGTTTTTCTATCCGTAGTTGCACTGCTGTGGTGTGAACAGCTACCAGGACTATGAGGACATAAAGAAGCAAATACCGTTGAGCTGTTGCCGAAACCAACATGTCCAATGCCCAAGCTTGAACAACGATCCCTACAATATTGGCTGCGCGAAACAACTACAAACAACGTTGGAGAAATATTCGCAAATAATCGGAGGGGTCGCGATTGGAATCGCTGCTGCAGAGGTAAGGAAATAGTTATTTATACGCCAAGGTGAAAAAGAATATCATTATTACCCAGGGACCAAAATTATATTCTGAGGCTTCATCCGAGAGTTATAAGGTCCCGTGACAATAATATTCTTTATCTACTCACTGAATCGAAAGTAGGCGTTTGCTTCCTCACTTGAGGAAAAAAAATTGTAAATTCACTCCCATGGAAGGAAAAAAATATCAACTCACGTGGAAGGTAAAATTAATTGGCTTCAAAATGCATTCTTTAGCGGCGATATACCTATACAATCTGTGCAATTACTATTATAACACAAGTAACAATAATATTTACTTTGAATTCTAATGATGGCATACGCTCCTTCATGTCCATGGCATCATATACCTTTGTAAGGATTTGGATCGAGTGATAGACCGCCTGAAGCACAATTTCAAGAATGATGCTTTGAAAGAATGCGTTCGTTAATAAAATCATGTAAATATCATGGAGCAAAGGTTCATTTCCTTCCATGTGTGTTTAATGCCCTCCACTACGCGTCGTGCATCAAACTTCACACGCGGGAGGAAATGGATACCTTTCCTTCCTTGATTCATAAATAGCTATTACTATCAAGATGTCCATAAAATTTTCTTCACCTCTAGCCATACATTTCAATCATTTTGGTTCTTTTAGATTAATATATAAACCTTTTGTCACCATGGAAGCACTTCTTCTCAATTCAAATCAAAATCTAGTAGCCATAACCATGACAACATATGACAAGTCTTTGTTGATGAATACCTACCAAATTCGAGTATCATTATTGAGAACCTCGCATCAGAACAGTGAATTCGGTTTAATTATAAGAGAGGTGGCTATCTCATTATTGACTAGTGGTTAATAAAATGACAATAAGAAATACCATGATAGCGAAAACACACTTCACGCCCCGAAAAGGAGTAGATGATAGTTGGTTTTATAGCTAGTGGTGGAAAATAATAATTACATAAGTGTCTCACAGAATGCGTTTCCTAACGTGTTACGTAGAATATATTTTTGATTTTTGATGAAAATTTCCGCTTGAACAGATTATAGTGACTAGCTCTACATGTGGTTGCAAGTGATTTTCGTATTAAAAAAGATGTTCAAGTTGTTGAAAAATTGTAAGACCGGTTTTATTCGTTCCCCATTCTCATTCTGAAAAAAATATGTCAATCGAGTTGAGAATAATAATCATCACTTTTAAATGAGATATACTAGCATCCTGTATTATGTTGAAATAATTGAATTTGTTTACTGTCAGTTACTTCATGAGAATTCAATATACGTTTTGAATATAAAAAGTTCTGGTTGATCTTCATAAGATTGTTGAATTAATATAATAATAAAAACCCGATATACGAACAAATCGCAACAGGAATTTATCACTAGTGATCAGAAAATTAATTTCCATTATTGCTCTGAGAGTTGGAATTGCTGAACTGGTCAGACAAAAATTGACACTAGTTTCGCAGAGATGTTAAATTCCAGCGAGCGAGTACTTTCATTTTCAACCTTATGAAATAGTAACTCAATCCTTCAATGAATTTTCAGTATATTCTAAATTATTATAAAATACATTTCTTTTACATAGACAATCATGGAGCACACAACTTTGTTTGCTCTGTTATTGTCTACATCATTCGATTTTTATCTGTTTTTATTTCAATTCTTTGATCTTTGATCACTCTTAACAAAATTTGTGGGGATGACTTTGGGTTATCATCTGAGTACTACTATAGACTTCTTTCAAAGATTGTATAATTATGTAAAGCATCTTCATTTATGAATTCAAAGAGGATAATTGTTTTTATTCTGATATCTGAACCCTATATTAGGTACATGCAAATAATGTAAAGTTTTGATCGAGCAAAAAAAATGTAATTGGATTTTCATATGTGAAATCATCTTCTCTTTCAATTTTTCTATAGGTATATTTGTTGTGTAGCATCTTTAGAGTGTTGACAATTGTAAATCGTACACGTTATTGTAGGAGACTTGTGAGGAGCTATTCAGGATATCAATACATACCTGAAAACACACTTTTTTTTTTCGACACATTCCAGTGGACTACTGGACGAACATGCTATTCATATATCCCAATGATTGGTACATCAACAATATTGAGACATTGAAGATATTCGTAGAATGATACATCACAATATTCCTACTCCCAATATCTGAATAATTAGTCATCAACATCCATAACTCTATAGGAATATCGCTATCTGGCATCAAGTATATATCATCCTCCACTATCTGATCTGCCGTTGAGTAAAGACAAGTCGATATATGATCAATTCATACACCTGATTTCAAGACTTCACCTTATTACGTTGATATTCCGAATTTTTTCACTACTTCGACGCGGTCTGTTGGTACTTTAGACTCGGAAAATAGACTGCCAATTGTCAAACTCACTTTTCAACGTCACAGATCATACGTGGAGAGAAATTTTCATTTCTGTACTGATGACGTTGATTTCCTCAGAAACTTGCCAATTTCCGTCGCTCGCCCCTATATTATACGTCCCCTAGACCAAGAAGTTAGATTGGCGCTCTGATATTCCACATCATAAATGGAATCATTCCAGACGAAAAAATACCGAGTCACGTTGCAACTCATGTAGCAAAGCTATCAAACAGGTGAAACAGTGTATAAGTCGGCGTCAAACAGTGAAATTCGTATTTCTCTGGAATATCTAGTCATTTCACGTATTGTCGGCAGACAGCATAACTCTGAATTCCGTATACCGTTTGCCTAATGGTTTCCGGCATTCCCTGTAATGACGAAAGAAAGGTTCATTTAGGCCTAGTCAGCTCAGGCTGTTTTGAAGCCGTAGTCTCTTCTGTTCTCTCGAGTAATTTTCTGAAAAATATACTTTTCAGAAGAAGGTTCATCCAGGAGAAAAAATAGTCTCTCTTCTTATGCATATGCAGAAAAGATATTTTCTTTCTTCAACTCTCTGGCAAACAGAGTAACGGCTGAAAATGGAAGTTACGCTGTTAGCTGTTTGCCGACAATACGTGAAATTACTAGGCATTTCAGGGAATGACGGATTCCACTAATTAACGCCGTCATATATATTATGTGTGCACTCAGTATATATATATATAATAAATTTTTTCAAGGTTTATGTATGCAGGGTTTCTGTCGTTGATGACTCAACTTGAAATTGCTATCCTCATTTCTCATTCAATCTCAAAATAATTTGATTTCTGTTATTTCAGATAATTGGAGCAATCTTTGGCTTGTGCTTGGCAAGCTCGATAAGAAATAGCTACCGAAGACATTTGTACGCATGAAGAAAACAGTTGATACCTGAAGTTTGAACTCATTTGTTTACGTCTAATTCAGTGTATCTTATACTTTAATATAGACCATAACGCTTTTTTACGAATCGTTTTTTTTTCTCGATAATAGATTTTGAATTAAGAATGAGTCTGTCTGAGTTTTGTTTGATAATTATTTTTTTATAACAATACCTATCTATGTTTCAAGTGTTTAAATTTTATATAAGTATGAATCTTGTTACAATCGAATAAAAACTATGTGAATTGAATATTGATTTTTTTTACCACATTACTGAACAAGTGAAATTTGTTCCACATCCCAATATACCTAGGTAAAGCAGATTGACCTAGGTTAGGTTAGTTTGTGTTCCATGCGATGAGTAGGGCGAATACCGCCCTTGCACTGTCTATTGTGGCTCCCCTAGAGGTTACAGTTCGATGTACAATGCACATCTTTTTACAAAGTCCATGGTTGAATTAGGTGAGATTTGTATAAAGCTTCATATAACGTTGGCATTTATCTTGCTGGAGCTCAGTGCTTGAGGAGCAGCCAAACTGTATGATACAATAATGAAATTCTTGTTTTCTGCTTAACACATCGACTCTTACTCCGAGAGAGGCTTCGATCCATCTGTGTACATTTCGTATTCGGTCCAGGAACAGGGATCTGGAGGAAACTATCCTGGCTTTCCTCTCCAAGACAATGTGAAGATGAGTGAGGTTCAGGAGGTTTTCATCGCTGCCGTTATTGGAGTAGAGGACATCGCCCCTGAAATGGCCAGGGGTGCCAGCGGCTAAAGACTCGCACGCTTTGCCCTGGCTGTCCATTGCAGACCTTCAGTCCACCAGACTACCGAGCCATGACCATTGGTTTGACCATTGTTTGGTACGTCCAAAAAATCTGTTTGGGGTTCATTCCCCATGATTTGCCGCATTCCTTCCTGTGGTTCCAGAGGAAGAATCTGGTTTTGTTATAAGTTTCTGCCCTGTGGTCGTTCCAGGTGAGTCTTTCATCTCGGGGGACATCATAAACGGAATGCTCTCTCTATAGAGGGCAGGCTGACGAAGCTCATCTAGCTTATGCCTTTTGGTGAAAGGGGTGATTACTGTTTTCTGGGAGTTCACAGACATCTGTAACCTTTCACACCATATTTATACACAGTAATAAGTGCTTCTTTTAGGTCGTTTGAGATCGTCGCTTCGAATTTCCTTCTTATTATTATTCATCCCCCGCATGGTAAGATCGTTCATCACTCATGGTCTATGTAGAACAACTAGTCGAACTACCAACCCGCATTCCAGATGTCAACAACCATTCGGCTTATACACTGAATATTTTTTCCACCAGCAATCCTGATCCATATAGGATAGAAGTTTGTGCCCCACTTGGAAACTCTTTTTTCAGCGTTTCCATGGAAGAGAGTTTGTGTCCCCTCAGCAGAACCAACACGATGTGCTGAGATAATTTCTGAAATCATCATGTTGGGGATGCAAACCTACATACCAATCACTGCAAGGAGAACATCTCCCGATAAGGCCTGGTTCAGTAGAAACTGCTCCAGAGCTCCCATATAACACTCGACGTCCTGGGGACATCCAGTTTAGGTCCTATTTATTTCAGAACGTCCGGGACCTTTTCAAGACGTACTGAAAACGTCCATTTCTGGACGTGCTCGGTACGTACGATTCCGATGTACTGGGTACGTCCAACTCTGGACGTTATCGACTTTTTGTTCACGGGATTGGATAAATTTTCTAATGATAATCGAAATCATTGCGTATTTAATTTCAACCCTCGATCTCTGAAATCTATTCATATAGGAACCTTCCCAGGCAACCAGATGACGAATGATCACGTCACTGTGACGTCCCTAATTGGTGATTTTTCGTCACACACCAATTTATGACGTCACGATAACGTACTTTCTATGACGTGATAATCACGTCATCAATTCGACGTCGAGTGAACGTCACTTAGATGGGTAAAGGAAGACGTCAGTTTCATGACGTTGCAGGGACTTCCTGTCGACGTACATTTTCCCCAGAATATACCCGAAAAGTAGGAGAAAACTTTTTTCTAAAGAACTTTGTTACACTGTATATCTCGGAAACCAACAAGCTATGTATATGTATAAATGATTGTTATGGTATGCCTATATTGAAACCGTTACTCTTATGACGTTGCAGTGACGTATCTATAACGTCGTAAAATCACGTCGGTGTGACGTACCAATTTGGTGAGCTTTTTTCAATAATTTGCTATTTAGATTTTGGTTGGGTGACAAAGAATGCATCAATATACATGATTCAACAAAGTGACGCCAAATTCATCAACATCCTTTTCATTGCTATTTTTTGTTGGCTTTCATCTCACCGACACAAACTGAATTATTCTTGATACAGATACGAGTAACAGATTGCATTTTGATGGAGATGCGTACTGAAGAATTGCGCTGCTGAATTGGCGATTGAATGAACATGACCCATCAGGAGGGACCCACCATAGCAGACTCAACAATGCATAATCAATATTATATAATTTCATCAGAGGCCAGTGGTGTTTATATCACACCATGTTATAGGAATCTTTTTTACGTATCATCGCCAAATTTAATCGTCATTCTAACGTCTTTATGACGTCAGTTGGACGTCACAGTTTGGTGAGTGAATGACGTCAATACGACGTGAGTAATATGACGTCATTGGGCTGTGATTTATTCACGTCATTATCACGTCGATGCGACGTCAACTACTACTGACGTCACCTCGGTCATACAAGTGACGTAAAACAGACGTCACTGGAACGTCATCTGGTTGCCTGGATGCAAACATTAATATAATACAATGCTCACAATAAATTTATTATTTACTGGCCCCACCAGATCACAAAACATCTATCCAGGTATTCTCTGCCGTGATTATCTAATTCTATAAAAGTATCGATATGATGAGTCAATCGGCATTCGCACATAATATTGCTTGTTGTATACTGTTAATCAACAAGTGTTCATCAGATTAATAGGTGAGCATCTGCCTGGTGATCCAAAGGTCGTGGGATCGATCCCCAGTAGAAGCATTTTTTTTCATTTTTTTTTTTCATTCAAAATAAGACTTTCTACTCTATCTGAATCTCTTTCATGACTATCTGAGTGAAAAGGGGTGGATCTACGTTGATTCATGTATTCATGGTCCTGAATGGACGTACTGAGGATGTACAAACGAGCGGAATTTGGACGTCGACAGTACGTACCTGAACGTCAATCGTACCAAATCTGGACGTCCCCAGTACGTACAAAACGTCTTGGTCGGACGTTCTCAGTACGTTTTGGAGACATACTCGTGCTATATGGGCTGTCGCTTTCAAACAGACAGCATTCCATCGATGACAGAAAAATCCAGGCCTTGAAACTAGAACAGAATATGTCGTGGCTAGAGGCATATGCAATGAGATGATTCGATCATCAAAGGATGCTCATAATGCCAAAATGAGATCAAAACTTGTTGAATGTCCCAACAGATCCCGTTCATTTTGGTCCTTCGCCAAAACTTCACTTCCAGCTCGTTTCCTCCCCTAACCAAGGAAGATGGAACACTAGTCACAACTGCCCAGAAGGAAGCTAACATTTTTGCGCATTTATTTGCTGGGAATTTCACTCTGGATTTATCGGCAAACAACCTCCAAACATAACGCCAATTGACAGTCATATGCCCCAGATCACCTTTCGCCAACGTACTATAAGGAAGATTATATTGGTTCTCAACATCAACAAAGCTTGTGGTTCCGACGGAGTCCCACCGATTGTTTCCATGAAATTTGCTTCCGAACTAACACCTGCTCTCTGCAAGTTGTTTAACTACTCCTACAAATTGGGGATATTGCCGTCCGACTGGAAAATTGCAAGAGTAAAACCAGTTCCTACAAAAAGCAGAGAGACCCTACCTAGCAACTACAGACCGATCCGATCGCACTGCTAACTATCGAAGATCATGGAGAGAGCTATCAACATAGAGCTCATGCAATATCTGAAACATTCAGGTATTATCAACGATAAACAATATGGCTTTCGTCATCAGAGATCAACTGGTGACCTGCTCGCTCACGTCTCACATATATGGCAGCAATCTATTCGAGGATATGGTGGAACCTTTGCCGTGGCACTTGATGTCTCCAAAGTATTCGATCGAGTCTGGCACCACAGACTACTCGTCAAGCTTCCATTTATGGCTTGCTCTCCCAGCTTTGTTCTCTGCTAGCTAGTTTTCTCTCAAACAGGTCTCTCTATGTAGTGGTCGACGGAGTTTCATCTGACTCTCTTACCATAAATGCTGGTGTTCCGCAAGGATCAATTTTATCACCAACACTGTTTCTACTCCATATCAATAATTTTATGTCCAGTTCACAGCTCCGCGGATGATAGTACCCTCCATATCGCATTGTCTTCCAGGGCTCCAATACCAGCCAGGCAAATCAGAAACGAACGAGGGAGAAATGTTGATAACATGAATATAGACTTGGCAACAATTCTCTAGAAAATCCGATCTCACTGTGCTTAACATAGGCTCGTCAGGAGTAACTATAACCTTTGATAACATCCATTCAGATGCATGGTATTACTATCAGCAATAACATTTCTTGGGAACATCACGTGAGACGAATTGCAGTGCATCCCAAAAACTTGGATTTCTGTTTCGGGATAGGAGCTTTTTTACTTCAAGTCAGTTGCTTATGATCTATAAGACACATATCCGACCTGTCCTGGAATACTGTTTCCTTATTTGGAGTGCAGCACCAAAACATACCCTGAAACTGTTGGATTCTGTTCAAAAAAGGGCACTTCTCTGGAACACCGTAGTATAGCTGGCGATGAGGTTCTAATTCATAAATATTCCCATGGACGATGCTTTTCTGAAATATCAACAATTGTTCCTTCCTTGGCAGTCCCAGCGGGATTAACCAGTCGAGTTGTGGCTTCGCACCCCTCCGTGGTAATTTTGGAGACCTGCAAAAAATC